AAAAAAAAAAAAAAAGAATACTTCTTCAGGTCTGGGTGAGATGGCTCATGCCTGTAATCCCAGCACTTGGGCAGTTGAGGCAGGTAGATTGCCTGAGCTCACAGGTTTAAGACCATTCTGAGCCAGAGACCTCATCTATAAAAATAACCTGGCATTGTGGTAGGTGCCTATAGTCCCCAGCAACTTGGGAGGCTAAGACAAAAGAATTACTTAAGCCCAGGAGTTTGAGGCTGCTGTAAGCTATGACTCCATGGCACTGTACCAAGGGTGATGAAGTGAGACTCTGTCTCAAAAAACATAAAAAATAAAAATAAGAGAGAAGCTCGGTGCCCATAGCTCAGTGGTTACGATGCCAGCCACACACTGGGGCTGGCGGGTTCAAGCCCGGCATGGGCCTGCTAAACAACAATGACAAATAACTACAATTAAAAAAATAGCTGGACACTGTGGCGGGTGCCTGTAGTCCCAGCTACATGGGAGGCTGAGGCAAGAGAATTGCTTAAGCCCAAGAGTTCGAAGTTGCTATGAGCTGCTGTGATGCCACGGCACTCTACCAAGGGCAACATAGTGAGACTCTGTCTCAAAAAAAAAAAAAAAGAGAGAGTAAGAACACTGCTTTTTTTAAAGGAGTTAATGGGTAGACTTTGGTAGCTGAGGAAGGTTTAATAGATTAGATGGGAGCTTTATACTATAAAGTATGAAGAGAACAGAAGTTCCTTTGTAGAAAATTGACTAGTTTAACTTGTGATTTATCACATTTTTTCCTTTCTCCCATCTAAAAAAAAATAAAATGGAACTGAGTGAAATTAAAAATGGAATTTCTTTTTCTTTTTTTGAGACAGAGCCTCAAGCTGTCCCCCTGAGTGCTGTGGCATCACAGCTTACAGCAACCTCCAACTCCTGGGCTCAAGCAAGTCTCCTGCCTCCCCCTCCCAAGTAGCTAGGACTACAGGCACCCACCACAACGCCTGTCTATTTTTTTTGGTTGCAGCCATCATTGTTGTTTGGTGGGCCCAGGCTGGATTCAAACCCGCCACCTTAGGTGTATGTGGCTGGCTCCTTAGCCACTTGAGCCACAGGCACCGAGCTATGAAAATGGAATTTCTTGGAGTTTTAATAAGTAGAAACTTGGAAAGCCTAGGATATTATGCCTCCTCAAGTTTGGGTCTTTAGGCTTGGGAAACTTTGGTGCACAATTGTTTTGGGGAGAGAATTGAACAGTCCACTCTCCAGTTTTATTAATATAATGGACCTAGGCTCAGCTTCTGTAGTTCAGCAGCTAGGGCACCAGCCACATACACTGGAGCTGACAGGTTCAAATCCATCCTGGGCCTGCCAAACAACAACTACAACCAAAAAATAGCTGGGCATTGTGGTGGGTGCCTGTAGTCCCAGCTACTTGGGAGGCTGAGGCAAGAGAATCACTTAAGCCCAAGAATTTGAGGTTACTGTGAACTGTGACGCACTCTACCAACGGTGACATAGTGAGACTCTGTCTCAAAAAAAAAAATATATATATAATAGACCTAAAGTATTTAAATGAAAAATTAATGTCTCAATACTTTTTTAGGTACAATGGTGGCTTTTGCAGTTGGCCCAGGAACTAGAGGAGAGACTGACCAAAGACCGAAATGATGTAAGATTTTCTTTCTTTCTTCCTGGAGTGGGCTTTGGAATTTAAATATCAGCCGTTCTTTATGGAGTAAGAACAAAGATAAAAAAAGATATCAGGCTAGGAAAATTTAAGAAATCTTTTGTCTTCTTTCAACACAGGCCCATAAAACTCAACATAATCTTTGAAAGCTTGGCTTTATGAACATAAGACCTAACTCTGCCCCTCTCCCTCTTACTGTTTCTTTTCTTTCTTTCTTTCTTTTTTTTAGAGACAGAGTCTCACTTTGTCACCCTTGGTAAAGCGCTGTGGCATCATACCTCACAGCAACCTTCAGCTCTTGGGCTTAGGCGATTCTCTTGCCTCAGCCTCCTGAGTAGCTGGGACCACAGGTGCCCACCACAACACCCAGTTTTTTTTTGTTGCAGTTTGGCCAGGGTGGGTTTGAACCTGCCACCATTGGTATATGGGGCCGGCACCCTACTCACTGAGCCACAGGTGCCGCCACATTTTGGATTTCTTATTTAACTCCTCTTGCAACCCTGATTATACTATAGTCCTTTATCAGTGTATATAGGCATTGAGCAGAACATTGAGAGAGTAGACTGTGAATTATTAGGCTTAATGTTTAGTCCATATAACAATGGAATGGCAGTTTTAAATAAGTTTTACTGTGTATATTTGATGTTTACACCATGATGTTATAGGATACTTATAGATAGTAAAATGTTACTCTAGCTTAGCAAATTAACATATCATCTCACATACTTTATTGACAAGACAAGCTAAATTGTTCATTAGTTTTCTTGACTTTGTCATCTTACATACCTACTACTTTGTATCCTTTGACTATATCTCCCCATTTTCTTCCCCTTTCCCCTATTCCTGGTAATCAGTTTTATTCTCTATCTTTGTGTATTTGATTTTTTTTTAAAACATTTCTGAATATCTTTTTTCTTTCTTTTTTTTTGTGGAGACAGAGTCTCACTTTATCGCCCACAGTAGTACTGTGGCGTCACAGCTCACAGCAACCTCCAACTCCGGGGCTTAGGCAATTCCCTTGCTTCAGCCTCCCGAGTAGCTGAGACTACAGGCGCCCACCACAATACCCAGCTATTTTTTTGTTGCAGTTTGGCTGGGGCTGAGTTTGAACCTGCCACCCTTGGTATATGAGGCATCCTGCCTACTGAGCCACAGGTGCCGCCCTGAACATCTTTTTTCTAATGTTACTGATTTCTTTAGTCTAGGGCTAGTGGCAATTTTAAAGACAGACTTAAGTCAAATATTAGACATCTAATGATTAGTTTCTTTCTCTTCTACTTTTCATCAACTTTATGCTTTACACGCCATAAAAATCACCCACTTAAAGCATATAGTTCAGTGGTTTTAGTGTATTCCAGAGTTGTACAACTATTCTACAATAAAATTTTAGAATATTCTCATCACCCCAAAAAGAAATCCTGTACCAGGCAACACCTGTGGCTCAGTGAGTAGGGCACTGGTCCCATATACCCAGGGTCGCGGGTTTGAACCTGGCCCTAGCCAAACTGCAACAGCAACAACAAAAATAGCCAGGCATTGTGGTGGGTGCCTGTAGTTCCAGCTACTCAGGAGGCTGAGGCAAGAGAATTGCCTAAGCCCAAGAGCTGGAGGTTGCTGTGAGCTGTGATGCCACGGCACTCTACCAAGGGTGACAAAGTAAGACTCTGTCTCTTAAAAAAAAAAAATGAAAGAAAGAAAGAAGAAATGCTGTACCTATTAGCAGTCACTCCCTATTTCTCTCCTACTTACCCGCACCCCTAGGTAACCATTAGTTTGCTTTCTGCTTTTATGTACTTATTATTCTGGACACTTCCTATAAATGGAATGGAATCAAAATACGTGGCCTTTTGTGACTGGCTTGAAACCTTTCACTTAGTATAATGTTTCAAAGGTTCCCCCATATTGTTGCATGTATCAGTACCTCATTCCTTTTTATGACTAGGCAATATTCTAGGATATATCGTATGATATATCATATTTACATTAAATAGACATTTGAGTTGTTTCACTTTTTGGCTGCTATGAACACGTGCAAGATTTTGTGTAGACATATGTTTTTATTTCTCTTCAGTATATACCTAAGATATAATTGCTGGGTTATATGGTAACTCTGTTTAGCATTTTGAGGAACTGCCAGACTATTTTTCACATGGCTTCATCATTTTATAATCCTACCATCAGTGTAAGAGAGTTCTAGTTTTTCTACATCCTTGCTATTGTCATTTTAAAGTTTATCCATTCTAATGGGTGTGAACTGGTATCTTTGCGGTTTGATTTGCATTTGGTGAAAGCTAATCATCTTTTTATGTGCTTGGAGAAATGTTTTTGAGAACTTTTTCCGAATTAAGCTGTCTCTTTTTTTTTTTTTTTTTTTGAGACAGAATCTCACTATATGTCACTCTTGGTAGAGTGCTATGGTGTCACAGCTCACAGTAAACCACAGACTCTTGGCTGAAGTAATTCTCTTGCCTCAGCCTCCCAAGCAGCTGGAACTACAGGTGCATGCCACAATGCCAAACTATTTTTTTGTTGTAGTTGTCATTGTTTAGCAGGCCCAGGCTGGGTTCGAACCCGCCAGCCCTGGTGTATGTGTCCAGTGCCTTAACCATTGAGCTGCGGACGCCACACCGGCTGTCTCTTTATTATTGTAGTATAAGAGTTCTTTATACAATCTGAATACAAGTCCCTTGTCAGTTATGTAATTTGGAAATATTTTCCTCCATGCCATGTGTTTTTGTTTCCTAATGGTGTTATTTGATGTATGGTCTCCTTTTGAAACATCTTAGCATTCTGCAAGTCAACTGTATACTGTTAGGAATAGTCCAATACTACTTCTTTGCTCCCTTTTAGGTGGAATTGGTGGTGAACGTTTATTTCTTTGATAGACAACAAAGAGAGGGGGATTGACCCAAGCTGTGTTATTGGCCCATTCAACTTTGCCCACTAGGTGGCACTTGGTTGTCATCCCTTTATAAGCTCCTGAGGTTTTTCTTCCTACCTTGTATCTAGTGTGACACAGTGAGGAATCCTTGAAAATTAATCTTGTCTTTAAGTTTGAAGGGACTTTATGGCCAAAAAGAATTAGAGACATAGCAACCTGTCACTTCACTTTTTAAAATATTCTATTCAGTGGCTTCCTTTCACACTTAAATCATATTAAGGATTTCCTTTTTTTTTTTTTTTTTAAATTCTATAAAGCCAAATATGATGTGGTCTGTGGCTACTTCTCTGACTTTATCTCCTGTCTTCTCCCCCTCACTTATTCTAGTCTCTATTCCATTGGCCTTCTTCCCTTTTATCTCATATGCCCAGTAAGCTCTCACCTTAGCACCTTTTCACTTGCTGTACCTTTGTTGTGGAGCCTCTTTGCTCATGCATTCTTTCTCTTTCTTTTTTTCTTTGTCTTTCTTTTATTTCTTTTCTTTCTTTCTTTCTCTTTCTCTCTTTCGCATATATTCTTTTTTTTTTCTTTTTTTTGCTTGTACAAAAGGTTTTATTGGTGGCGGAGGGAGACTGCAGAGCAGCACCAAGGAGGAGAGAAAAGAGGGGAGAGAGATAAGGAGAGAGTAGGAAGGAGGAGAGAGAGAGTAGAGAGGAGCAAGGAGGAAGAGAAGGGAAAAGAGAGTGAGCAGAGAAGGAAGGCAGAGGGAGGCGGAAGAGAGAGAGGTCACATATATTCTTAAAATTTGCTTCCTCACTTTAGTAAAATCTCTGCTCAAATTCCACCTTCTCCAAGAGACCTTCCCTAGTTATCCTATCACATCAGGAGCTTCCATCAGTGTTTGCCTTACTCTGCTTTTATTTTCATAGCACTCATCTGCATAGTCATTTCTATTAACATGTCCGCTTGTTGTTTTAGCTCTAGCTCCTATTACAACATAAGGTCCATGAGGGCCTAGACTTTACTTGGTTCTTTTTTGGCATCTTTAGGCACTATCTGGACATACATAATAGTCGGTTACAGCTGAATGATTTTAGCCAATAAGGACTCTTTTGTAATTGACAATTTTTATGCCCCCAAGATAAATCTGTACAACTGTATTTTTGCCCAGAAAAAATAGTTCCTGCTCTCAGCTGTCTTGTCTTAGGGATATTTCTTCTCACTTTGTTTCTTTGTTTTTGAGACAGAGTCTCATTTAGTTGCCCTCAGTAGAGTGCCATGGCATCATAGCTCACAATAACCTCAAACTCTTAGGCTCAAGTGATCCTCTGGCCTCAGCCTCCCAAGTAAGTAGCTGGGACTTACTGGCTAGTTTTTCTATTTGTGGTAGAGATAGGGTCTTACTCTTGCTTAGGCTGGTCTGGAACTCCTGAGCTCAAGCACTCTACCTGCATTGGCCTCCCAGAGTGCTAGGATTACAGGTGTGAGCCACCACACCTGGCCTCTTCTCCCTAACTTCTTTTGATTTTGACGGGGAATCTATGCTTGATCTTTATTTCTCAGTGTGCTGAGCATCAACAGTATTCAGATACTTAGACTTTACTGAAGTGAGTCAATGATCTTGCTTTCTAAAGGCAGGCTTACTATACTTTATCTTTTCTAGATGGGTTGTAAGGAGGAAGTGCTGGTGAAAACTTCTGCAGTAATTAAACATAAGAGCATCAGGGCAGAAAAAAGACTAGACTGAAGACTGTCAGATCCACTACTTAGTCTAGACATACTAGGTTTCAGTCACTTGCCTAAACCCTTCCTTTCTTCACAAAGCAGGATATAGTATTTATAGGTATTTGTTATAATCTTCCTGCTTGGATGCCATGAAAAACATTCAAGGAAGTTTTATTTTCATTTATTCTCTCTTATTCCCATCACCTAGCAAAATATGTTAAATTCGGTAATATCCCATCACCTAAATTACATCTTCTCTACTTTTATTTTTTTGAGACAGCGTCTCAAGCTGTCGTCCTGGGTAGAGTGCCATGGTGTCACAGTTCACAGCAACCTCAAACTCTTGAGTGTAAGGAATTCTCTTGCCTCAGCCTCCTAAGTAGCTGAGACTACAGGCACCTGCCACAATGCCTGGCTATTTTTGTTGTTGTTGTTGTTGTTGTTGTTGTAGTTGCCATTGTTGTTTGGCAAACCCTGGCTGGGTTTTAACCCGCCAGCCCTGGTTGGCTGGTGCTCTAGCTGCTGAGCTACAGGTGCCAAATCTTCTCTACTTTTTTGTGTGTGTTTTGAGACAGAGTCTCACTTTGTACCCTTGGTAGAGTGCTATGACATCATAGCTCACAGCAACCTCAAACTCTTGGGCTCAAGCAACCTTTTGTCTTAGCCTTCCAAGTAGCTGAGACTATAGGCACCTGCCACAATGCCTGGCTATTTTTAGGGACAGGGTCTCACTCTTTCTTGTTCAGGCTGGTCTCAAACGCCTGAGCTCAAGCAATCCACTCGTCTCAGCTTCCCAGAGTACAAGAATTACAGGTGTGAGCCACTGTGCTTGACCTTCTCTGACTACTTTTTACATACAGAAATAACATAAACTTTTTTTGTGGAACTATATAATCAGATTTTTATTCAGAAAATGTGATTCTATAGTATAGTATACTATTAGCATCCCTAATAGTACCTAATCCAGTATCCTGTGCATAATAGATACTCATTATATATTTGTAGCTTATGGTATAAACAGTCTCATTGTTTGCTTATTGATACTATGTTCTTGAATTAGAAGCTTAGTGTTTCCAAATCATTCTGTCACCCTGGTTCTTTTAATTTCCTTTCCTGTATTTTGAGTATATAGAATCTAGATGCTCCTAGAACTTTATTCTTGTCTCAATCTTTTCTTTCTCCCTCACAGAATGACAGGGTGGCCACCCAGTTGACTGTGAGCATTCGTGTGCAAGGAGACAAACGTCTCAGCAGCCTTCGCCGCTGCTGTGCCCTTAGCCGCTATGATGCTTACAAGATGAGCCATGATGCATTTGCTGTTATCAAGAATTGTAATACTTCTGGAATCCAGACTGAATGGTGAGTTTTTTTTTTTTTTTTCTAGCTCATCTTCTTAGACTTATGCCCTGTCTTAGCTCTAAAATTAGTGGGAGTCCATGCTATTCCAGCAGGGTTAGGCTCTTTCTGAGTGAGACTAGCAGCATTTATTACAGAGGAGAATGGTAATACTAAGGGAGAAAACACAGTAGAAACCCAGCTGTAGCTTCTTCGCCTACATTTGGTACATTATGGTTCCCAGGGGTAGGTTAGAAGGCAAAGTGAACTAATATTATCTCTGTCTTTATCAGCTTACTAAAGTCAGGGAAATGACCAACTGCACTTGGAGAACAGCTCAGGTTTCAAGAATGTATTTGGGAACTTCTCTTTCAACTATTGACTATTCTATTTTAAAAGCATCTTTCTTGATTATGAAAGTAACCTATATTCATTGATAATCTCTAACATCCCAACTCAGTTACAAGCTCCATTGGTATTATACCAAATGTCACATTCATTAATAAGCTTCACTTCTGTTGATCACGAAATATAAGCCTCTTTTTGTTGGAGGATGTTCATTTTCTGTCCAGATATTAATGACTTCTGGGATTGGAATCCTTTAATTACTTATTTAATGTAGCCTGCTGCTACATTTTAAAAAAAGTATTTCAAATTCACAACAGAAATATAATTATGAGAGAAAGATAAGTTGGTTATTCACTTACAGATGTATAAAAAAAAGGCTTGACCACCTAAGTTATTGCTTATCTAAATATTTTGGCACTGCTATTATACATACAAACCTATGATATGATTTCTCCAAAATTGGAGTCTTTTTTCTTTACTTGGAATAATTTACTTAACTTGTATTTCCTGATAATATTTATTTTCAAATATTGTACAGTTTCATAGAACCAAATGATAATTGTGTACTAGGTTCTTATGAAACCTTATTTGAAAACTTATAAATTGATGAACTAACTATAACAAGTACTACTCACCAATAGTGTGAAATTTATTGACCAAGAAGCATCACAATTATCTGATTACAAGGATGTCCCAAAGTATAAGACCCAAGGCTAGTGGGATACTTTCATAATTACTTTAAAATAGCATTTAGGCTTTTCCTCATTTGAGGAACTAATCTCTATCTAAAAGCATGTTTCATCTTTAATTCAGCTTACGAAAATGTGAGTGATTAGACATAATGAGGAACTTTATGACTGGAATTTCTAGCAGTGTTTCTGAGACTGGAATTGGTAACTAAAAGCTGTTGTGAATGAAATTCCAGAATGGAGCCAGGCACGGTGGCTCAGGCCTGTAATCCTAGCACTCTGGGAGGCTGAGGTGGGTGGATTGCCTGAACTCACAAGTTCTAGACCAGCCTGAGCCAGAATGAGACCCTTGTCTCTAAAAATAGCTGGGCGTTGTGGCGGGTGCCTGTAGTCCTAGCTACTTGGGAGGCTGAGGCAAGAAAATTGCTTAAGCTCAAGAGTTTGAGGTTGCTGTGAGCTAAGATGCCATGGTACTCAACAAGGGTGACAAAGTGAGACTCTTGTCTCAAAAAAAAAAAAAAATTGCAGAATGGAAAGTCTGTCTGAGTTAGGGTCAGGTAGTGTCCTGTTTAAAAACACAAGAGAATGGGCTTGGTGCCTGTGGCTAAGTGGTAGGTGCCAGCCACAGACACCTAAGGTGGTGGGTTCAAATCTATCCCAGGCCCACCAAACAACAATGATGGCTGCAACCAAAAAATAGCTAGGCGTGGTGGCAGGCACCTGTGGTCCCAGCTACTTGGGAGGCTGAGGCAGGAGACTCACTTGAGCCCAGGAGTTGGAGGTTGCTGTGAGCTGTGATGCCACAGCACTCTACCGAGGGGGACAGCTTGAGGCTCTGTCTCAAACAAAAAAAACAAGAGAATGGCTAAGAGAGTTTTTTCCAAGTCTTTCTGATCTAAATGTTCTAAAGCTTTTCTGTTGTCCTCAATAAAATTTCTTGCCCCAACCCTGAATTATGGCAGTTCTATAGTGGTATCTTATAAAAACACTAGCTGTCTGGAAGTAGGTGTTCACCAGGTCGGTAGTTCTCAAGATGCAACATCAATTGTTAAAAATTCAAATTCTCAGTTCTTCCCAGGTCTATTAATTTGATACATGTTAAACTTTGAGAATGACTACAGTAAGGAATGATTTCTTCTTGTGGCACAATCAGAATCCCAGGCATTTATGAACTGAATCTTTCCTAAGCTCTGAAATAGTGACCTATGCCAACCTTCTTGTTCTTTTACTTTCCGTACAGGTCCCCTCCTCTCACAATGCTTTTCCTCTGTGCTACCAAATTCTCTGCCTCTGCCCCTTCATCTTGCACAGACATCACCGTCTTCTTGAGCAGTGACCCCAGTTCTCTTCCAAAGGTGCCAGTTACCAGTTCAGAAGCTAAGACCCAGGCAAGTGACCCAGGGGTGACAGCCCCTAAGAAAGCAACCACTTCTCTGGAATCATTCTTCCAAAAAGTTACAGAAAAGCAGAAAGTCAAAGAAGCTTCACTTTCATCTTTTACTGCTACCACTCAGGCCCTCACAAGCAATTCACCATCCAAGTTATCACCTTTTCAAACCAGTCAAACTATAGGAACTGAGTCTTTCTTTAAGCAGAAAAGTCTGCTTCTAAAACAGAAGCACCTTAATTCTTCAGTTCCTTTCCCTCCACAAAATCCCTGGCCTAACTCTGAAGGGTTAACAAATAATGTTCCAACAGAGAATCCAAATTGTGCCCCTGTTTGTGAAGGAGTGTTGAAGCTAGAATTCTGTAAAGCAACTCCTGCAGTGGTGGAATTGACCCAGGACAGCCCAAGCATGCTTGCTTCTTCAGTTTCCAAGTCTGCTCTCGGCGTAGCTGAGAAGGCAACTACCAGTTCAAGTCTTCTAGCTGCTGAGGACCAGGTGCCCTGTGAGAAGTGTGGCTCCCTGGTACCAGTATGGGAGATGCCAGAACACATGGATTACCACTTTGCATTAGAGTTGCAGAAATCCTTTTTGCAGCCCCAGTCCTCAAATCCCCATGTTGTAACTGCCTCGTCTCCTCAAGGCAAAAGAAATCCCAAGAGCCCTTTGGCCTCCGGTAATAAACGCCCAAGGCCTGAGGGCATGCAGACATTGGAATCATTTTTTAAGCCATTAACACATTAGTGCTGCCCTCAGGCTTGCTATGGGATTGTAATTTTTTTTTTTTTTTGAGACAGCATCTCCCTATGTCACCCTCTATGGACTGCGGTGACATCATAGCTCACAGCAACCTCAAACCCTTGGGCTTAAGCAATTCTCTTGCCTCAGCCTCCCAAGTAGCTGGACTATAGGCACCCACCATGGGATTGTAATATTTTATCTGTAAACTTGAGAAATGGATTATGTTCCCTTCTCAGAGAAATCCATAATTTTATGAAATTTTTAATACAAAAAATAATTGTTAGGTGCTGGGTTAAGGTTCCCATCTCTTCATTGCCATGGATTCTAATCCCATTGCTGATAGAGATGTAAAAATTCATCTTCCCATCAAGTTTTTAATCTTTAGGGTTTGAGGAGGTACTATCATATAGTAAAAAGTGTATGGGCCTTGAAGCCTAGAAGACTGGTTCCAAACCTATAGCCTCTTATTTCAGTGATGACTTTGAGTAAATCACTTTCTTCATTTCCTTATCTATAAATGAGATAATACCTTACAGATTATTAAAGATTAAAAAATAACATATTTAAAGTACCTAACTTTAGCCAGGTGTTGTGGCGGGCGTCTGTAGTCCTAGCTTCTTGGGAGGTTGAGGCAAGGGAATCGCTAAGCCCAGGAGTTAGAGGTTGCTGTGAGCTGTGTGACACCACGGTACTCTACCGAGGGAGATAAAGTGAGACTCTGTCTCTAAAAATAAATAAATAAATAAATAAAGTACCTAACTTAAAGTTGGCACAGAGAAGGAACTGAGTTAAAAAAAAAACTTCCCTAGCTTGGTGACAGGGGCAGTTCAGATAATGCCTTAATCAGAATTCTATATTTTCATTTGGAGAACATGAGGTGAAAAATCACTAAAAGTAGGCTGGGCATGGTGGCTCATGCCTATAATCCTAGCACTCTGGGAGGCCGAGGCAGGTGGATTGCCTGAGCTCACTGATTCGAGACCAGCCTGAGCCACAGCGAGCCTCCATCTCTAGAAAAATAGCCTGGTATTGTATGGGCACCTGTAGTCCCAGCTACTGGGGAGGCAGAGGCAAGAGAATTCCTTGAGCCCAAGAGTTTGAGGTTGCTGTGAGCTGTGATGCCACGGCACTCTACCAAAGGTGATAAAGTGAGACTCTGTTTCAAAAACAAAAAAGAATCCCTAAAAGTGCTATAGTAAGTTAGTGTAGAGTAGGCTCTGTACATAAAAACTACTCAATAAACACTGAATCTCATATAGGTAAACCCTATTATAGCCTCAGTTCTAGCCACTGGCTAGCCATTCTTTTTCTGCATTTTGCTCTAACACGTTAACAGTGCCACTGGCCAGTTGTTTGCATTGGGTAAGTCATAATCAAAAGTAGATCATCTCTTGGCTCAGCTTCCATTGCATAGTGGTTATGGCACCAGCCACATACAACCAGGCTGGTGGGTTTGAACCAGGCCCAGGCAAGCTAAACAACGACAACTACAACAAAAAAATAGCTGGATGTTGTGGCATGTGCCTATAGTCCCAGCTACATGGGAGGCTGAGGCAAGAGAATCGCTTAAGCCCAAGAGTTTGAGGTTGCTGTGACCTGTGATGCCACGGCACTCTTCGGAGGGTGATGTAGTGAGACTCGTCTCAAAAAAAAAAAAAAAAAAAAAAGACCATCTCTAGAACCTTGCTACTCTGGGTGTGATCTGAGGAAGCTCTCACCACTCCTACTGAATCCAAATCTGCATATTAACAAGATTCCGGGCTTGGCACCTGTGGCTCAAGTGGCTAAGGCGCCAGCCCCATACAGGTGGCAGGTTCGAATCCAGCCCGGGCCCACGAAACAACAATGACGGCTGCAACCAAAAAATAGCTGGGTGTTGTGGCGGGCGCCTGTGGTCCCAGCTACTTGGCAGGCGGAGGTAGGAGAATCGCTTGAGCCCAGGAGTTGGAGGTTGCTGTGAGC